TAGTTTATGAATTTAAAATTATAATTCAAAACTATTCTCATTTTATATGTATTTTTTATGAGAAAAAAACACTACAGAGAATCATAAATTATGATTCAGAATCAATGACGAATACATGAAACAAACATTTCCTTACTTTTGCTAGGCTTGTAAACACCAAGAGGAGAATCAAACTTTCACAAAATCTAAAACAAGTTTGAAGTCAAACAAGGGCATCCAAATTTGCCTAGTAAATTCTTTCTGATTACTCTAAAAACTTTCAAGCCCACGATGGATTTGAGGTTGATCAGTTCTCAAAAACTATGCTTAATCTTGTTAGTGCTTTTATTGGCAGCTAATAATATTGTTGTTACTACCACTAGATTAATTTTCAATGTGAAGAACTTTAGCGTTGTGGCAGATAAAAAAAAATATTATATTATGATTATACTTATTATTCATTTCGGACCCAGATGTCGCCACCCCACCTGATAGGGCCCATTAGATGGGACCCACCTCATGGGAGACTTGCTTTACTCCGTCAGGTTAAATCAAATCAATTTTTTGTCTTATTTTATTTATCTACTTTTTTTTTTTTTGTCTTGTTTTTCGAGTTTTTTAAGCCTTTAAAATTCGTTTTAGAATAATTTTATTTTATATAAAAAATTAAAATTAAAATATTTTTTATTTTAGATTAAAATTATTTTTAAAAATATGTTTAATAATTTTATTAAAAGATTATTTTTAGTGTAAAAAAATTTATTAATGTATTTTTTTCTCTCTTTATTCGAAAAAAGAGAAAATGAAAATTTTTTCTCATTTTATACTAAATCAAAAAATTATTTTTATTTTTTATTTTTTATCTTTATTACGTCAAATTTCATTTTGAGAACGTTTTCATTTTTTTCTCAAAAAATGTGAAAAATAAAAATAACATCAATTTTAAACATGACTAAAATTTTGGTTTCAAAAAGAATTGTCAAGGCTCTCCCAGGATTGTCAGCTCTGGACAACGAAAGCTGGATTAACATTTGGTTTATAGATTATAATCATGTGATTAGAACCATTTTCGATTTATGTGTATTTTTTGTGAGAGAAAATACTGTAACGAACCATAAATCATAATTCAAATCACGGTTTGAATCCTCCAACCAAACATTCCTTACATTTCAATACATCAACAGATTGAGACTTGTCGGCGGTGGAGCATTCCATGGCCAAGGAGCTACAGCTCTGGCTCAAAACGAATGTGCCGAAAATTTAAAATGCAAACTCCCCATTGTAAGTCCTAGCATATCATATAGTTCCCTTAATTTTGTTTCTTTAATTTAGCTACAAGAAATTAATTCTGTTTTTTTTTTTTTTTTTGGTTGTACCCAAAATTGTCATTGCGGTTCAATTTCCTCAACAATTCAACAATTGAAGGAATACAATATGTGGACTGTTGCTACACATCAACATTTTGGGGTGCAATAAATTGAATATGAGATCACTAAGGACCCATTTGGAGCATATAAAGTCAGTGATTCTGATTCATTAGTGAAAATTTGGTGACAGATGAAATTTTTAAATTCAATTTTTTTTGTAAAATAAATAATACTGTAACAGAATTTAAATCATAGTTCAAATATACTTACTAAACATGCCCTAAACATCTTAGAACCAAAGGACAGTCCCAACACAGATGGTATCCACATCGGACGCTCTAACGGCATTGAGATTTCCAACTCCGTCACAGGAACCGGCGACAATTACTGCTCACTAGGCCAAGGCAGTAAGAACATCTACGTTTCCAAAATCTTCTGCGGACCAGGCCATGGAATTAGTGTAGGTAGTCTTGGCAAGTCCCTGGATGATGAAGTATTTGGACTGACGGTGAGGAATTGCACGTTCATTGAGACCCAAAACGCCGTGAGAATACATGTCCTGATTCCACTAATGGGGCCGCTTTCATATTTCACGTTGTGAACAAATGTACAAAACCCAATTGTCATAGACCAGCTATGACTGTGTCCATATTCTGCATGCAAACCTGAGGTATACTTATAATACATATTTACTAATAAATAATATAAATATATTATATTAGTGTTTGATATGAAGATTCGTGTCATGATTTGAATCATGATTCATGGCTTGCTACAATGTTTTCTCTCACAAAAAATACACGTAAAACGAGAATAGTTTTGAATCATGATTCTGAATCCATGAACCAAACGTCCACGCTTTTTTCGCAAAAGAAGAGCTGACCTAACATCTATTTATATACACGTAAAACGAGAATAGTTTTGAATCATGATTCTGAATCCATGAACCAAACGTCCACGCTTTTTTCACAAAAGAAGAGCTGACATAACATCTATTTATTTCACAGTTTGAACGTTCAAAACTTTTTATTACAGTATTTTCTCTTATAAGTATTTGTTTAAACCTATAAGCTAAACCGGCCACTAATTTAAGGATGTCGTGATATTCATTTTTTAGGTGGCTTCACGTATAATTTGTCTAATTACTTTTTTATTTTTGAGTATCATTAATTCTCTAATAGATAGTGATTTACAAAATAAATTCATGAATCGAAGCTCCTATTAATCTAAGTACTAAATCAATCCTCTTCTTTCTCAAGAAAGAATGAATTGCATCTCGTAATATTAGAATTTTCGGCTATCTATTTTTTCATATCTACAAGATAGAAAGCATATGATTTAGAATCTCAAAATCCGTGTCGAATAAATCAAAAGACACGAATCTATAAATATGAGTCTGCTTATACTTATGATTAAGATCATTCTATATATAACTATCAATAAATTCAATTAAAATTTCTATACTTAACTGAAATTATTAAAAATTTATATTGTATCTGTGTCTCAGTCCTACATAATCAGGAGGACATCAACTTCAAAGGTTGCAGTCAGTCTTGTATGCAGCAAAAGCGTTCCTGCTGTTTCTCCGTGTTCCAATATTGAACCTGTTTTTACTGGAAAACAAATCCCGGCCACTTGTGTCTAGCTAAATTATCCGAGCTATTTGCCAATAGAAGTGTAAAAAACCTATGTTTACACATATTTGTGAACATAATATCAACATTTCATTTTATTTTTATTTAAGTTCTAACTGTGTTCTTTTTTTTTTTTTTTTTTGCGATGTCTTGTTTTTTTTTAAAGTTAAGATATTTTATACTAAAGATAATGCTGGGATAACAACTCTAATCTCAATTTTAGAACAAAAAGAGTTAATAGTGAGCAAAGGTCTACTTACTCAAATGAGTCAAATTCAGTGCAACTTTTCCAGCAAGTAACGACGCCGTTTGACAGACGACCTCGTTAGTAAATTGGGCCTAAATTTCATACTCGTTGATCTGGTGGACTCAACGGGCCTCAGCCCATTTGTTCACCTCGTCCCCACAAGCTGCTTCTCGTGTACGGCAAACCCAAAAAAGATAAAGATAAAGATAAATATAATTAAGAAAAAAGGAAACGAATAGCCACTCTACAGAAACACCACAAATTTTAGGTTTGGATTAACATATGGTAGGAGAGGTAAATTATTATAGAAAATATTATAGTTAAAGATATTTAAAGATTATAAAATCTATAAAAATCATAAATATATACATGAAAAACTACAAAATCTAATAATACTGAATGAAATATATAAAAGTATAAGTATAATATTATTCAGTACACAAAAATTAAATGATGCCATAGTGGTATATTTTATAATAGTCCTAGTACCCATACTAAAAGTCTCCATGCCAATTATGTAAATATCTCAAATAAATACAAGCGCATGAGTCTGAATTTTTACTCATCACTTAAATATCCGTTTTAGTAATAATTATGCTCCCATTTGGTTCACTGGTTTAAAATTTTTTTCATTTGAACTTTTTTGTTTGAATAGAAAAATTTAAATTTTGTGATTTAAATTATAGTTCGAATTAGAGTTTGGATAAGTAGTTAAAATTTAATCTAAATAGGGAATAAAACTCAAATTTGTATTTGGTAGGTATGAAAAGCGGAGAGAGTATGTACATTTTTACTATTTAAAAATGGTTTAAATGGTTAAATTTAAGGGGAGATAAACTTTAAGTTGTACAATTTAACGCAATTCAAATGGATAAATATAATTAGAATGCGTACTTACTAAACATGCGTTTAAACTATGCACACTGTTTGAACTGAATTAAACTGAGCTAAACCAGCAAAACAAACAAAGCATATTTTAGCAAAAAAGTATTAATAGCAACTCTAACCATACTAGCCATTTCATATTTTTAGCTAAAATAGTTAATGATATAGCTTTTTTTAAAGCTTTCTTCTACTTCAATCATTAACTAAATGGTTAGTTAGCATAAAGAGACTAACCATTTTATTTTTTGTATTATTTTATTATTTTAACCATAATAAATGTAAATATTCTTTTTTAAACTCAATAAAATTATTATTATTTCAGTTAAAATAGAGAGTATAATTGAAATAACTTATTAAAAAATTACTAACTAAAATAACCTTTTAACAAATTTAATTAAAATTTAACTAAAATTTAAAAACTTTTTTAGTAAAAAAAATTGAGGAGATGTTTGGTTAGAAGATTTAAATTATTATTTGAATTATGGTTCATAATTTATTATAATATTTTCTCTCATAAAAAATACACATAAATCAAAAATAATTTTAATCACGTAATTATAATCCATAAATAAACGTCTCCTAAAATACATTGGGCTATCAAACACATTCAGCAATTTTTTCTATTAAAATTAATCTTTTTAATCAAAAATAATTTTAATCACGTAATTATAATCCATAAATAAACGTCTCTTAAAATACATTGGGCTATCAAACACATTCAGCAATTTTTTCTATTAAAATTAATCTTTTAAAAAAAAAGAATAGTATCTTAAATTGTTCCGTCACGAGTCACGACTCACGAGTGTCAACCACTTTTAACCTCTCATCTGGTTCTTGGTCACCGAGCAAGTACGGAGCACTTGTTTGCAAAACCCTAGCTTAGAGCCAAGCAAACATGAAGCCCCCAAATCCCAATCTCTAATCCTCAGACCTCAATTCTCCACCACCACCACAAGCTCATCATCCATGGCGTACCTCCCTTTCGAGGTCATCATCGACATCCTCGCTCGCCTTCCGGTTAAGCACCTTCTCCGTCTCCGGAGCGTCTGCAAGCCATGGCGGTCCCTAATCGACAGCCTCGACTTCATCCACCTCCACATCGGCAAATCCATCGCTGCCAAATCCAATCTACGTCTCCTCCTCCGCCTGGACTCCCGCCTCTTCTCCGTCGGCGGCGACGACGACGACTTCTTCGCCCTAAACGACGCCGTCGAGCTCCCCCACCCCCTGATGTGCTACAGCAACGAGATTAAGATCCTCGGCTACTGCAACGGCCTTCTCTGCATCGCTAATGTCGCCGAGGACATCGCCTTCTGGAACCCCTCCACCAAAACGCACCGCCTGTTGCCGTTTTTGCCCCTCGATAGAACCCGCGACCTCCGCATGTCGTCGCGTTTCTACAGAGTCTTCGGCTTCGGATACGACGCCGTGAACGAGGATTACAAGCTGGTAAGGATTTCGCAGTTCATTGGGTTGGATTACAGGTCGTTTGAGTCGGAGGTTAAGATCTATAGTTTGAGAACGAATGAGTGGAAGAGTATGGAAGATATGCCTTATGCACTTTGGTATACCGACAAAATGGGGGTTCATGTCAATGGTTTCTTGCATTGGGTGGTGATAAGGAAGATCGAATTGGACGAAACTGGATTGATTGTTGCGCTTGATGTTGTGGGAGAGAGTTATAGGGAGATTCCATTACCTGAGTGTATGAACAATGAGTACCAAATCGAGTTGGGGGTTTTGGGTGGGTGTGTTTGTGTTCTTGCGAGTTATAAAGAAGGGGGTTTTGATGTGTGGGCGATGAGGGAATACGGGGTTAAGGAGTCATGGACGAAGCTGTTAAAGCTTGGACATTCTGTGTTGGGAGTTAGGCCTTTGACTTATTCGAAAAATGGCGGCGATATTCTGTTTGAGGAGGGGTATAGGAAGCTGTTTTGGTATGACTTGAACAGTCAAAGAGTAAAGGATGTTAAGATTCGTGGTGCGCCGGAGGTATTCGAGGCTTTTGTTTGTGTGTGCAGCCTTGCTCCGGTCACTGCTAGGAGAAGACGAAGCGGCGGCAGAAACCACGAATCGGGAGAGGACAACAACAAAATGAGGTAAATTACAATTGATATAGTTTGAATTTTTATTCCGTTTTTGTGTAGGACATTGTTTTGATCATTTTTTTGATTTCTTTTGGTTATAAGATGATTGTTTTTCATATTAGTTATCTTCTGTTGTTTGTCTTTTGATTTGGCTTTTTATACAAATTTGGTTTAGAAATTCATGGCTAGGCTTGATTTAATTGCTTAATGGTAATGGACCCCTTTACTTATTATTCCCTTGATGGAATTGGTACCTGATGAACTTGTTTTCCTCAGGGATAATTTTCTATCAGAAGGCTTCAAGTTGGTGTTATAGGCAACCAGGCGAAGAATATGAATGAGAGTGGAAAAAAAAGGGTAAATTTTTTAGAACATTAATTGCGGATGTTATTAGTCTTTTGTTCTCTTGGATTTCTTTAGTAAATCTGTATCACTGTTGTCCGATTTGCTCACGTATTCTGGCTCCTCTGTTTCCTCAGGGCTGAAGTTGAAGGGACATGTGAGTTTGTTCATTATAGAGTGCTACAAAATAAGGTTGAAAAGAAGTTGAGATTATAGTTTTCTTTTATACATATTACATTTGCGCCAAACAATAATCACATGTACGGACGCAAGGACCTTGTAAGATATGGAGGATTTTAATATTTGCTCTGCCTTTGAATCTTTGACAAACAACACACTGACCTTGTATTAAGTTTAAGCTTGTGCTTTACTTGAATGTAGGAGGTTTTCGTTGATGTTTCTCGTGAGAACTGGAAGCATCTTCTCGTGAGAACTGGAAGCATCTTCTAGTTCTGATACTTAGATTTTCTTTCCGTACTTTTCAACAAATGTTTGCATGAGAAATTGAGAGTTGACTTCCTTCTCCATGTTGTATATATGTTGTCACTTGCCACTGCACTTATTACTTGAGTGATGAGTCCCGACATTTGTTTATTGAGCATTGCATTATCCACTAGAAATAAAATTTATTGTTTGCCTTTGAAAGTTTGCTGTGTTGCAGAACAAAATGATATGCCGTTTTGTGTTAAATGTCATTTCGCATATGTTTGTCATGTATGTTATGTACCAGATCATTGAACGTCATGTTTACTTGTTTCCCCATTAAATTATGTGCAACTATAAAAAACTGCGTAAACATCTGAAAGCAGATGCAGAACTAAACACATTGGAAATAAAAGATTCTTTGAACCATATACTTTTTGATACGTGTTAATATTGTCATCATTTCTGAGTTATTGTCACTCCTATTTGCGGTTAAATTGGCTTTCTTCTCAAAGATTTTTATTGTTTTATTTGATTTTTAGTTTAATTTTGTTTAATTTAATTAATTTAATTTAATTTTAATTTATTTTACTTAGGTTTCCCCTCTAAACTCTAGTTAATTATTTTCTCATTAGTGTAGGCAAAATTAAGTGAAAGGTGCAATTTGGAGGTTAATTGGAATTTAAAATTTCATTTATTTCACCGATTTAAATTTTTATTATAGTTAAAAATTTTTAAAAACAGTTATATATAATTTTTTTATTATAGTTAAAAGTTTTTATCAAAATTAGAAATAGATCATCCGCCAGATTTGCTCCCCTATCGCACGCACAAACAAAGATGGAAGCAACGCGAAATCTCAGCCATCGAATAGTGGCAGGTGATGCCCAGATCAGAGAGTGCGTCTTATTCTCTCTCTTCGGCGCGTTACAATGCTTGTGTCAACTCTTGATAAAAAAATGTGTGTATAGAACTCGTTTCAAAATGATTTTATTTTTTATATGTAAATAAAAATATTTTCAACCTCATATAGAAATTATTTTTAAAAATATATTTAGTAATTTTATCAAGAGATTATTTTCGATATAAAAAAATTAATAATGTCTATCTTTCTCTCTCTCTATTCGAGAGAGAGAAAAAAATAAAAACAAAAATTAAAAAATAATTAAAAATAATTTTTTATTTTTCTCATTTTACACTAAATTAAAAAATTATTTTTATTTCTATTTTTATTTTTATTGTGTCAAATATTATTTTAAAAACATTTTTATTTTTATTTTTTTAAAAACATAAAAAATAAAAATAGAATTAATTCTAAACACATTCAAAATGCCTGCATCAGCTCCTCAACATAGTGTCAGATCCCATGTTTTGCGTCCCGTCTTTTCCCGCGTGCACCTGCACTGTTGTCCAGCTGATCTTCGCCACGCGTCTTTTTCTTTCTAGCTTTCCCCTCATCCAATGAATCGATACCACATGGCGGCTTGATCAGATGCCTACTTGCCCATCTTTTCTCTCATCTGGCGTGGGTTTCAGGTTTCAGCCGCAAAAACTTGGACCCAAACATAAAATAGCCCGTTGGAAGAGCTGATTAGAAAAATATTTGGGGAATTAATTTGGGAATTTAAGGGTTGCTTTCTTATGATTTTATGTTCATTAAATTTTAAATTTTTATTAGAGAATGTGTTTTTGAAACTACAAAGTGGAAAATAAGAAGAAAAGAAGATGGAAAAAATGGGGAATTTATGTTAATAAATACATTTTTATTAGTGTAATTATTTGACTAAAAATGTTATGAATTAATAATAAAATATAAAAATACTGATTTATGCATTTTTAAGGGATATTTGTCAATATTACCTAAGAATATCTAGAAGATGAAGCCTGGAAACTCGTGACACTTCTAATTAGGTTCTTTTTTCTTATTTTTCTTTTAATTCTCTATTTTTGTTCATTAATTTTATCAGAATCAATGTTTTAATTTGATTCTGGGGCTACGATATAGTCGGATTATGATATTTTATTTTTCAATTTTTAATAATTATTGTTTTATTTTCTAATATGTTGAGTGTTTCACTCTATTCTTAATACTTGTGATTGCCTTATCAACAATTGCATGAATTAAATATGATCCTTTATTGGAATGCCATTAGAATATCGTAAGTTTGAGATAATTATGTGACTAGTCTGGTGGCCATGATTTCCAGTTTTTAATGAATCTCAACATGTTAAAATCTTAACTGAGATGTAAGGTCTGCATGTTTTAGGTATGATTATTAATGTTTGAAAAAGATTAATAATTAATTTAGAGAATTTCACTATCAACATTGGGAATAAACATAATTAATTTAAATAGAGATTTTCATATATGATTAATTTTGGTGAGTCGTAGACCTAAGTAAATTAGGTTATTTAATTTATTTTTGTTATTTTTATTTTGCTACTCTCAATTTGATTTTCGGTCGTTCAAATAATTTTTAGTGTTAGTCAATTTTGAATTAACGCAATCCTCATGCGATGGACACATTTTATTACTTGTAAATGATAACGTATATTTGCGACAGGATTCTCTACAATCATTTCTTTTTTCCCCCTCCTTTCTAACATCATTTTTTTAAAAAAATTAAAAGCATCAATTGAGAATGAAGAAGAGTCGTGGCATGTACTTTCTAGCAATTTTTCTTCCTGCATTCCGTTTAGACCAGGCAAAATTTTTGTGCATTAAAGAAGATATTGAACAAATAGAATTAAGACATTGGCTTAGTTTGGTAGTGAATTTTAGAAAAATTACTTTTAGTTGTGCTGAAAGAAGAAGCAACTGTTACAAGAAGCAGCTGAGTGTTTGGTAAACTGTAATTATAGTAGCTATGTTGATTTCAAAATCAGTGTAATAGCGTTTGGTAAATTTTGGGATTGAATTGCTATGGGTATGTAAAATGACCAAACTAGCCATAGTATGAAACTTAAATATATATAATTATTTTTGGTATTTAGAAATACTTGTTTAACTTAAAAAAAAATCCTATGATTTTGAATTTTTTAACAATAAATTTATAATAATTAATTTTTTTTTCATTTCTTCATTCACAATATAATTACAACTAAAAGGAGCATTAGTGACAATTACTCACAATTACTCAGAGACAGTTACAGTTTTCGAGTTGTGAAATTATTTTGTGCTCTCTCACTTACAAAGCCTGCAGACCAACAATCCAACAAAAGGGCTTAAAAGCTCTTTATCAAACCTTCCCCTTTCATATAATAAGGTAAGCATCAAAGCCCAGCAAACCCAACCTATGCAAAGAGCTCTTTTCAGCCCCCACTCCTAACAAGTGAAAGTTGCTGCCCCCGCCCTACCTTGCTTCGGGGCCGATCTCTTGAATATATTTCTCTCTCTATATAATGACAAGGACAGTTGCAGTCTTGATAACGCAACCAAATACCATAATTATCAATTTTGGTAGAGTTATTCTAAAAAATTTGCAAGAAAATTTTAATATATCAAGACCATCTCCAATGCTACTGTTGATACCAATATTGATTATATTTTAAGCTCACATATGTAATGTCATTTCAAAAAGAAAAGTTTCTAAATACAATAATAATTTAATAAGTACAGAAGAATCAGAAGCAACCGCCTATGGTTGTCTAATTTGCCAAATGTTGTGTGGCACTAATATTTATCTGTCAAACCAAGGACCTGACATAAAACAGGAGAGGCTTTATACTGACTGGAGATTCCCAAAAGACGAAGAAGCTCATCTGCCTCATAGTTAGATTTTAATCCATAGGCCGCTAGAAAAAGCAGAAATCCATACACAGTCACTGGGCGTTGATAAATCTGTCCTAAGTTAGCTCTCCACACATCCGCCATCTTCAAAGCTTCCCCCCTCACAAGGGGGCTTAGCTGGGGGGATATAGTCATTAATTGCTCTAACAAAAGAATGCAACTCTTTCTGACTTTAGCCATTGTTAGACTCTAATCAAACTGGGGTTGTGAACATAAAAAACCGGGTATTGCATCCAAGACAAGCTTTGCCGGATCTGGAGCATGACTTAGAGCATCATAAACCTCACTGCACAATGAACCATACTCCTCCACCTACTGATAGAGAAACAATTTCAAATGCCTTCCATCCATACCAACACAAAAATACTTGAGCGCTTCCAAGCGGCTTGCAAATGAAGAAGCTATCTGGTTGACCAACTGCAATTCTTCCTTCATTGACCGGTCAATCTTTTCTTGAGAATCAATGGTTGTGCTCACTAAGTAGGTATAAGATCAAACAATTCACAAGAAGGAGAAACCTTTAAGCTAAACAAAGCCCCATATACCTAAATAAGTTTCAAACAAGTAGCAATCAAGATGCACATAATAGTGGATCGATCCAATTACAACTTCACTGCTCTTTCAAGGTACAATAAGAGCATCTCCAATTCAATTATATCTTTCTATGCCAATGCCAAAATTTGGTATTTGGTAAGAAACCATTCTCTAATCATGACATGTTTACCTACGCGTAATCGGAATGAGCATGAATCGGAGTGGGTAGGATTCGGAGTGGGTAGGATTCGGAGTGAGGAATCGGAGTCAGAATAAGCTGTTTAGTAATAGGATTCAAAATCAGAGTAATTCCAAATCTCATTCATACGTTTACTTACACCCAGAATCGGAATAAAAAAGTATAAAAGTATTAATATACCCTTTAAATCAATTTGATATTTCAATTTAAAAAATATATTGTGTACTTATTATATTAAAATTAATCATAATTAAAATATTTAGTGTAATAATTGGGTACTAAAATAATAAATATATGTTGCATTTATTATTTTTTGAATTTTATTTTTAATTGTGTATTTATAAGTAAAATAAGGGTATAATAGTAAATTGATATTAATATTAGGAATGAGAGTCTCAATCCCAGGGGGGGCATGGGAATGCTAATTCCATTCCTCAATCCCAAATTTGAGTGGGACCCACCAATCTCACTCCCATTCCAGGATAAAAAAAAAAGTAAGTAAACATGTAATTGACTCTCATTCTCCACTCCCATTCTTCAATCCTGGTAAGTAAACATGCCATCAATGTTATTTTTAATGTGTATTGG